TAAATATATTTAAAAATGTCTTTAAATGAATTATTTTAAAATTTCAAATTAAAAAATCCTTTAAAAATAGTTTCTCAAAATATTTATCAAAGTTATTAAAGTTTTCCAAATGAACAACATTACAAACACACGAAGAGTTAAAAGAGAAATATTTTAGTTTGCTTAGCTAGAACTTTGATTGAACTTGATCTCTCGTTAGTGGCTACTCGTTACTCGTTACTCGTTACTCGTTACTCGTTACTCGTTACTCTCGCGCCAAACACAACAGACAAAACATCATATTTCTCTCGTTTCTCAATTGCAGATTGAAAACAAATACAAAATCTCAACAACGAGCATAAATAACATATATCGCACAAATAAGAAAGGGTAAGTAAGGCAGCTGTGTCCAAGTGCTACACACACACACAGAAAAACACACACACACTACTACACACACAACAGACTACACACACACACACACACACACACACGACACACACTCAAGAACTTGCACCTGAATATCATGGAAAACTAACAAAAAGGCAAAACACGTTCATCTTTTGGTAGTTTAGTCTAAAACCAACTAACGCTTAACTTGGTTAAAGGAACTGACGTGACTCGACTTGACGCGACTGTCTCTCTCTATAAACATATATGAATCCATTGTCATATGAAACAATTGTCTTACATGTATTCTTTTGCCTTGCAGGATTACGGCGAAAATTGATGATGATATGATATCCTTCTACTGCAACGAGGACATCTTCTTGCTGGAAGTGCAACAGATCGAGGATGATCTGTACGATGTGACGCTCACAGAGCTGCCCAATCAGTAGTAAAAGAACTCAAAACCCAGAGAGAGAGCGAGAGAGGGAGAAAAAGGAAACACACACAAATATGTGGACACAATTTTGCTAAATGAAAACAAAAACAAAAATATATAAAAGTTGTTTCAATAAGCCATCTTTTCGAAATAAGCCCTAAGTTAGGCCTAAGCGCTCGATACGCATATTATGAATCTATGAAATATATTGAAAAATATTATAATATATAAAAAACCTTTTATATATACATATATTTAGTTGTAATTGTTTTTGTTTAGCTACTTTAGTAACAATGAGATTACATCAATTTCTAAAAACAAATTTCAATTCTCGCTATGTTTATATATAAAAGAAGTAAAAGAACAACATGAATTAAGTGAAATTATCATCTTTATGTATTTATAACAAAATATATGTATACACATGCATATATATATCTGTATCTTTAACTAAGTTAAGTCGAACAAGAATAGAGTGCAAAATGTCTGTCCAGTTAAACGTTTAAGTTCTGCTAGGCCTTAGGTCCAAAAAAAAAAAAAAAACAAATTCCCTATAAAAAGCCCTCTGAAATTTATGCAAAACCATTTGAAATTTTACTCTAAATAAACTTTATTTAAGCATTTTTTTAATTGTTGTGAAATTCTTTTAAAATCGTTTGTTCTTTGTCTCTTCATACCTTGTTATTTGTGGCTATAAATGTTGAAAAATATATACATATAATTAATAACAAATAAACATAAACAWAAACAAAATAATTAGGATCTCTGCTAAACACAAAAAAAAAAACAAAAACAGATTTTGCTTCCAATGCCTAGAACAAAACGTAAAAAAATAAAATGAAAAAAAAAAAAACTGTTTAAAGTAATTAACTTAAAGTATATATATAAACAAGCATATATATAACTTCAAATATATATGTGTAAGAAGCTCTGCAATAAAACATGTTGATAAAAATCTTAATTAAGTCCAAGTTAAGGCAAWGAAAACAACAACAAAAAATCTAAAAAAAAAAAATTGAAATGAACTAAGAAATTGTGTGCATTTGTTGTAAAACAAGAAAAATCTACAAAAAACAAAATCAACAAAAATAAAAGTTGATTCAAAACAAAAAATTAAACATGAGAAATACTGAACAAAAAAAAAACATAATATTTAAAAATATATATATACAATTTTATATATGCATATAACATATTTCGTAATAGATATAATTTAAATTTTATACAGCATATATATGACATTGTGCGTTTACAATCTTTGTTTGCCATAATTAACAGCTTACTTAATTTAATTAACAATTGTTTTTCTATATATATACATAAACATTTTATAAACAATTAGTAAAAAGCAAAAATCTTTCCCTTTTTTGCTTTTTAAACAATTTGAATACTCCGCATCAAAACTTGCTCAATATTATATTATAATTTTGTTTATTATTTTTAACAATATACACACACACACAGACAAACACAATCCCACACAATACACACACAAACACATAATCTCTTCTTCTTATTCTCGAATATAAGACAAAGTAAATTTTGTATTTCAATTAATCATCTTTCGGTGTTGTACATCACAATTTGTTTTTAGTTGTAGTCACTAAACAAAAAAAAAAAATGCTGTAAACGTAATAATTCAAGAGATAATATAAATATATACATATACGATATTACGATAATAATAATAATAATGATAATCTAACTGAAGAAGAAATCTACAAATGATTGAGATGAGAATCGAATCGAATATCTTGCCGACATGTTATAAATCTATATGTTTAGTTTTAATTTATAAGTTTTATGCTCTTTCTACAAACACACACATATATAAAATATATATACACATATATATATATTTGAAAAGCCAATAATTTATTTTTTGTTACCTGTTGGAAACGATTCCGCGAAAAATAGTAAAAGTTTAACTGAAACTGAGCGATTTGTATGTATGTATGTGAGCTTGAGAAAAATTTTCAAAACAAAAAACAAAAAAAAAAGAAGATGAACAAATTGTACAATATTATCATAATGAATACACAAAATTTAAATAAAGAACAAAAAGTAAACGAACTGTGTGCTTATTCATAGAGAGTTGAATAATATTTGCATTAATTTATTAAATCATTTTATTCTAAACAGTATATTTTGCTAACCTTATCTATTTTACATAAGCGGAAATTCCAATTGGACAAGGTTTATGGCGGCGCAGAGGCTGTTATGTTAACATAACAGCATGTTAACAGCGTGTGTGCGAGCATTTGCACTGCTTGAACTCTCCGTTTTGCATTGGTGCTGCTTGTATGGTTGTTCCTGTATGAGTGAGTCCATTGCATTGGACGGAGAAAGCATGTCGCTCTGCCCGTTCGCCCACATGTGATATGCAAAAGAGCGCCCACTCAATGCCGGCAAATCAACGGTTGACGAGAGTGCGTTTTCGACTCTAGCAAACATGTTGCTATGGCAACTAGCTGCAACAGTTGTGCGCCTAAATCTCTCATTCTTTCGCTCTCTCCACTTCTCTTTCTCGTATTGGGACTGTGCGTCGGCGTCTACGTCGTCTGCTTCGCTTTCGGCAGTTCAGTATTAGTTTTTCTTTTCGACTGTGGTGTTGCTGCATCGCCGCTCGCCCTCCAAACTTTTACAGCAATTGGCAACTCGCACAGATCACGTAAAAATCTGCTCTTACAGGCAAATGCCAGGTACAATGGGACTGAAATGTGCATGTGCGTGAGCGTGAGCGTGAGCGAGAGCGTGTGTATGTGAAGATAAGATCTGGGATGATCTCTAATGTCAGCGCACGGCTGATGACAAAACTGATTACCAGCCGCAGATAAAACGGCTCGCTGTGAAAGACATAACAATAGATGCCAAGTGCGCGCTCGAGAAGCCATTCACCATTTTTGTTGTTCACTACTCAGTTTAGTTCGTTGCTGCGTGTGCATCGCGCCGGTTGTGATTTACAGTTAATTGTGTGTCGCTCGCTATTATCCTCTCCCTCTAACCAATTGCATTGCACTTGCGAGTTATGGAATTCGGATTGGATTAGAAAGCGACAAACTGTTGCCGAAGCCGTTACACAAAAGTCAGTTATCGATTGATTTCTTAACGGTTTCTTACACACACACACGCGCGCACATAAGCAAATGTCAGCTAATTGACATATTTTCGTTTTGTTTATGTGCATGTGCTCAACGTAAGAGCAACTGCATTGGCCGCATTTCTAGCCCGCTGCGACAGGTAAGAAATTTTACCTCTGTTACAAATATTTAAATAATGAAAGACAGTTGCACTTGTTTTTCTTCACTAATTTTTTGGTAAATATTACTTTAAATTTGTATACCCTGTAACGTGTGTAAACATAAAGTTGTGCTTATGTGTGTGACAATCAAATTAGTTCTGTTTTAGATCAAGTTGATTTACGAGACGTATGATAAATGGAGCATGTGATAAAGCCAAATAAATTTGCTTGGCAAAGATAAGAGCTGAGGAATGCAATTCTACAAACTGAATCAAAGAATATGAAGTAGAGTAGCGAGATTATCAAAAGTAAGCAAAAGAAAAGCCAGACATATACCTTGATATAGATTAAAGATAGCGGGTTTATAAGGGGAAAAAGTTGGAATGTGGAGAAAATTAATAAATGCCTTAGATAAACACTATTTAATCATGCAATTCGTATTATTTTATATAAGATATTAAATTTTGTTATACAAGACATGTGGGAATATGTGGGAATACGTAGGAAATGAAAAGATTCTTTAGTTTAGTTTAGATTCTTTAGTTTTAGAAATCTATTATTAAATAAATTTTTTTATGAAAGATATTTGAATGTTATTCCATTGCTATGCTCAAATTGAGTCTACAGTCGATATACCCTAAATGTATCACTCCCCTCGTGAATGTCAACTATTCATAGGATATCTTAAAGTGCAACGCCTTTCACTAGATTCCATTTACTCTGTGGTGCATGGCGCGCATGTTTACAGCTTCCATTCGAAAGCAATTAAATCCAATTGAAAGGCATTTGGGATCGACTGCAAAGAGATCGAATTTGACATTCCCCCCATTTCCTGATCGACGCTGCCATGCGAAAGGCACGCGAGCCACGCGAGACCCGATGCCACCTATGGCTGATGCTAATTCATTTGTTTGTTATTATTCTACTCGCATTCGACTAATAACCGTTATTTTCGCAAGTGTCCATCTCGTGTGTGACACAATCTACATCTCCATGTATAAATAAATGAATATATTTTTTGAGATCTTTCATAACCGTGTGAATAAAAAATAATGCTTGTAATTCACTTCTTTATTTATTTAACAATTAGTTAGCGCATTAATTGTTAATTCCTGAGCCTCGGCTATGACTGTGCATGATGCATGCGCAGTTAGCAACTGCTTATCCATTATCAACATTTATAATTACGTTCCGAGTATCCAATTTTCTCATTTTCTAATATATATGTATGTATGTATGCTCTGCGCTATGCCAAGGAAACAAAGTTCAAAACATGCTAGCGATGCATACTCGAATCGAATCGAATCAACTCGACTCGATATGGAATTTCCCCTAGCCGGGCGACCTTTGGCGCCTGTTTTTTTGCTGTTCCTAATACTTGTTTGCCTAGCGTGAAAAGGGTATATTGGATTTTCTTATGGTGTTTACTTTACAAAATGTACATAGAAGAGCTTATGTAGGTTTTTCCATAAGGCACCTATATACTATATAAGTGATCTATGGCTTGAGTGCTTTGAATTGACATAATACTTATTCCTATGTTGCAAATGGGCATATTGGTTGTAAGAAGTGTTCAACAGGATTTTTTAATTTTATATACTGATATTCTGATGTTTAATAATGAAATTCATATTAAACGAAAATTTATTTATGTTTTTAATTTAAATGCACAGTAAATAGTTAAAGCTATTGCTCAAGAAAATTACTATATGAATTATTAAAATATATAATAAGTATTACAAAGATTTATGTATATATTCTCATTCTTTATATTCACCTATAAATCATCCATACTAAACTATTATTAGTGTGCATCCACGTTAGGCAGTCTATACTGTGCACTCTATAAATCACTTTGAACGAGCATCGAGCAGTCGCTTGTAACTGTGACTCCCTAGTCGAGCCACAATTTCCCTAACTGTAATCAGAAACATGTTCACGGACGTGGTTCGGCTTAAGTTTGACGGAATTATATACAGTTAGCTCAATAAACCAAATTTGCAATACAACAAATAAATGTTATGCCAATTTGTTAAGTTAACTATAAAACAATTTTTATTTTTATTTTATTTATTTATTTTTATTTTTTTGCCAATGATTTGCTTCGCTTAGAACCAAAAGTGCGTTTAGTAAAAAAAAAAAAAATGCAATACAAAAAATTGTTGAAATTAATTTTTATCTAAAATTAAAACCTGATCTGGTTTTGCAGCTGCAGAAGATCATGAATCATCTACAAATTTATGGCTCTCTCACTTTGTTTAATATTTTTCGGGCAGACGATATCAAATTTTTGTTTTGTTGACTTTTGCTTTTATCTTGGCACACATTTCCAAATGGGTTCGAGTAATCAATATTACGGCCGTGTTACGGACAGTCGCTTGCAACATCTCTTTATGAACTGTTAACAAGGCCTTTAAACAACATATTTTTGTATTGTTGCTGATGATGTTGTTTACATCATGGTTGTTGTTCAATGATCATCATATCAATTTGATCTGAAAAAAAAACATTTTTCATACGCTAACGACCTGGCTTATTTGTGCATAGAATTGGCTACGGGGTTTCAAGTTTATCGTAAATTTAACTTAGGGCTTAAAGCTGTGCACTTAACAGAGTTAATTTGCCATTGTTTGAACAACTGTTTTAGCCTTCCCATTTGAAAAGAATCTGAGTTTGTGAAAGGAAACTTTGCTTTTCTTTCCTCTATATGCATCAAAAGTAATTGACTTGTAACTCATTTCTATACCATTTTGTTCTATTTCTTTTCGATTTGTAAGCAAAGACCATTGTGTAAATCTCTTAGCAATTTTCCATTCATTTAAGTCTAGCTAATTTAGCAAAATTTACAATGATTATCAAGTTAGAGTATTTTATCTTCGTTATGCCGAAGTTAATTGCTTGAGTTTAGACGAATTGCATTTGATGTTGTTTTGAATTTCAAGCTCGCCTCTCTTACCATTACTTGTCATGCGATCAGCTGCGCGTCGAAAGCTTTCGCTGAGCTTTCCTCTGCTGCACTCGAGCACCGTGGAACGTGTTTCGTTTCTTAACGTCAGTTCACATTTTGCAATGAGTTTTATTTTAGGATTGTTTAACCATATTTACATGGCAAATCAGATTTCTTGGCAATTAAAAAGTCACAAAGTAAATTGCACAAAAATGCTTTATCTTAATGTGACATTATAAATTTAGATATGACTAATTACAAAATAAAGTCAGTAACTGAAATAAAAAGTAATATAAATGCATATTATACAATGTGTATAATAATAAAAACTAACTGATAAAATCTAGGCCTTCTCTGTACTAATTGGCCTTATTTACATTTCCAATAAGAACAAAAAATCCCCTCAGCGACCACGCCTGTACGCTACCAGCGTAGATCGGCAAATTACTGTGGGGAGAGTGGGGAAGGTCGGACAACAACGAAGCAACGAAGCAGGCGCGAAGTTAACCGCAAAACGTTGTGCTTTTAATCAAAAGTTTTTATTGATTGGCGTCGCGCTTGAGGAAATTGTTAAATTCGCGCAAAATAATTTCCAAGCGAGTCTAGAGCGCGAGTGTGTAGAGAGCAAGTGCACGCGCGCGCGCCTCTACTCACACTCACACGCACTCTCGCACTCGCACACTCTGCCAATCACACAATCTCTACAAAACTCTACACTCTACAGGCAGAGACGGCACGAGCTTTGGCAGCGGCTTCGCGTGCCTTTTGTCCGCTTTTTGTGTTTTCAGTTTTCAGTTTTAAAGATCATATCGTAGCGTTCGGCTCAGATTTTGGGAGCACACGCAAAGAGCGTTTGTGCGAGAGAGAGAGAGAGCGAGCGAGAGCGACAGTTAGTATAGGTAGAAGTCGATAATTATTTTGTGTACTTAAAAAGCATAAATAAACAACAAATTCAAACTGAGTCAACTCTTGCCAAAACTTGCCAAAAACAATAAAGAAAAAACCCCAATTTTCAATTCCGTCTTCGCATATCAATGTCAAGTGCTGTCCGCTCCATCGAATCCGGGGTCACAAGTGCTCAAGCGGCTGATTAACGTTCAATAGAAGCGAGCGCAAAAACAAAAAACAACAAAACAATAAGAAACTGCAAAACAAAAAAATAAAGACTAAAAAAGGTGGAACGGCGCGAAACACGTTTCGTGTTTGTGTTTTCCTAGCTGAACAAAAATAACAAAACAAAATAACTGAAATTATTGTCATTGTTGCCAGAAGAAAACAAAAACAATAACAAACTGAATAGTAAATATAAATAAACTAAATTAATTAAATAAATCAGCTTCTTGGCCAGAGTACAGAGCGAGAAAGCAATACACAGAAGCACTTGCCCAGACCAGAGAGGGAGAGAGAGAGAGAGAGTGAAAGACAGAGACAAAGCGAGACGAGTCGAGGTTAAAGTTACCAAAGCGAACCTGATCTCAAAACTGAAGCAGCAGCAGCTCGGGAAGCGTAACGGCTTTGGCAGCTCTTACCAAATATGAGCATATGCTGTTAACCTGGCTATAGCTAACCACGTAATTCAAGCAGCCGTAACTTACCAGCAACAACAACAACAACAACAACAACATTTGTTGAGAATGGAGCGCTCGCAAAGCTGCAGCAATTTCGAAGGCGCGCCGGAGGCGTTGCACGCCTCTGTTGGTGGTGTCAACAAGCCGCTTACCGGCAGCAGTGACAACTTGCCCCACCGACTTGCCAGCTGCAACAGCAGCAGCAACATGTTGCCCAGTTTTCCGCCCAGCAAACCGTTGCGCAAACGCAAACGTCTGCAACGCCAACAATCCGTCAATGTGGATGATGCGGATGACGATGATCATCATGATCTGCTGAGCTGTGAGTGCGCCTATGCCGCCGATCTGGAGGAGAATGACGATGGGGATCTGGAGATGTCGGAGCCATTGGTCATGCCACGCCTGCCCCAGCGCCACATCTTGGCCAACAGCGGACGACAGCTGCGGCACGAGGAATCCTTCGACTCGAACAGCACGGCGCCCGAGATGAGTCCGCAGGCTGTGCGGCAGCATCGCTTCAGCAGTTTGCTGCTGCGCGACAGCTCCGTCTCGATGCAGTCGGACTCGAGTCGCTATTCGAGCGTGGACAGTCTGCTGGAGTCGCGCAAGCCCGATCCGGAGGCAATACTCATCAATCTGGGCTTCGGGCCCGTCGGCACCGAGGACATGCTCTCGCGCATACCCAAGCGTTTCCTCAAGCCCTCCAAAGTGCCGGGCATCGACACGGAGGCGTTCGTCAAGCGTCTGCAGCTGGCCAGTTCGTTGGCCGACTCCAGTGCCCTGGGCTATCGCGGGCTCACCTCCAGCTCGGATCAGCCGCCCTCGTCGATTGTGGCCAAGATTATGGAACGCTTCGAGGTCAACAATCAGCGCAAACAGTCCATGGGCAACATTGAGCACACGATCAGATGAGACGCCGATCCAATCCAAACACTATCTAACTATCCATATGCATACTATATATCCAATGAATATCTGAAATTGAGCAACCTAGGCTAAGTTACTCCGTTAGCTATATATAGCAGCCAGCGAGCGGGGTTTTACCCGACACGCGGCAACTTTTCTATTATTACTGTACGTTATTATTATTATTATANTTATCTTTATTGTCATGTGATGTTTATCTTGTCCATTAGCTTTTAGTTGTGCCGCGTACTTAGCTTTGTCTATTGTTTTACCTACCGATTCGGGTTTATTTTTACAATTCGCTTTACACTTATTATAATCTCAGTTTTAAGCATCAAACTAAAATAATAATACAAATTGCCTTTGATATATTTGAATGAGTTTTATTTTCGAGCTGAACTTTAACTGCGTATTGTTATTGTTATTGTTATTGAATCGTTAACTTTTACAATTTAGTCGTCAATTATCTCTCTTTCTCTCTCTCTCTTTCGCTTATCATTTGTAATAAGGTTTCCATTCATAGGTTCTTTTTTCTTTGTGGCGCATTCTGGAAGATTTGCAAAATATGGAATATAACCATTATCAATCAAATATTTTATTCTTTGTCTTAAACTTGGTTTTAGTCTTCCTCTTCTTGAAACTTCCTTTGTGTTGCATTCTCAAAGATTTTTCAGAATCTTTATGCTTTCACTTTCAAGCAATATTTTTAGAATTCTTCTCAAACTTACTCAGTCTTCGATTTGTCATCTCTTTGGCTTTCTTTTTGCCACTGCTTCTTACCATTCACTTTGCATTGTGTTCTTAAAGGTTTGCGGCTTACTCTTATTTTTTTTAGCTTTCTCCTTTGTGTTTTATTCTGAATGCGAATCACTAATACTCAGCCCTCGTCTTAGTCTTGTCTATGGCTTCCTCTTTGCTGCTGCTAGAGGCCATTCACTTTGTGTTTAATTCTGAAATGTTTGACGAGTCCGAAACTATTTAGGCATATCTAGATTTTGATCTGGAAATATTTAATTTGTTTTCTTGTGGATAAATTAACATTTATCATTTTTCTCTTAATCTACTTTTTTACTGCCTTCAGGGAAATAAATTCCTAAACGTTTTCAGGCCGTGCCTATAGCATATTTTCGTATCGACACCTTTAGGTGTTAAAGTTTTCGTAAATTCTATTCAATGTGAATCAATTTAGCGTGTTTTTGCTTAAGCGTTGCATTCTTAAACGTTTCTCACACAAGCGTGCATTCGGCTTTCTCTCCTGCCTCTTTCTGCAGCCCTTTTCATTCTCTGGGGTGTGACAAATTTCTATTTCGAGCCAAGTTGCATTCTTCAACGTTTCCACAATTCTCACATTTGACGCACTTCTCGCAGGCTAATAAGCGAATTTTAACTATATTTTAGAATAAACATTAATTTGCGTTTAGCTAGAGAAATCTGTTTAAATATCTAATATATCTGTTTAAATATTTATCGTCAACTTTCCACAGCGTGTCAAGAAACTGTTGTATAGCTTGAGAAGTAAATAGACTTCTATTGACAACTGTTGCCGCTTCAAACACCTATATATATATATATATATATTTCTATATTTATCTATATCATTATCTCAGGCTTAGGTTTTTCATTTTTATTGATTGGTTTGCATAAGAAGTAAATGTTATATTTAGAAACCGACGTCATAAGTCAGACAAAAAGTCAACAGACCTCATAAAAGCGGCAAACAAAATTCAATTGCGATAGAAGTCAAAGGAAAATAACAGCACAAAAGAAGGGCTCGGGTGGAGGTGCTTGACTAGAAGATACTCAGTACATGGAAAGCAGAAAGAGATAGGGAAAGAGAGAGAAAAAGGAAGTGAAGGAAAGGAAGAGAGCAAGAGAGAGAAAGAAAGAGAGAATAGTGTGTAATAGAAAGAGAGATACAGAGATATACAATGAAATAAGCTAGCAAATCTCTGTCTCCCTCTTCTTTAATTTACACTGGTCAAGCTTATCATACTCTATTGTGGTAATTGTTACAGGGTATGTAAATAAACATGCACATTTTGCAAACAAATATTCAAAGACCTCCAACTGTTGTTGCGCGGCATATCTAATTGTGGTTGTTGTTTCTTTGTTGTTATTGTTGTTGTTGCTGTGTTATCGAAAGTACATTTTCTGAGTAGCTAAAAACGAAATACATCTATTATAAGCCCGTGACATACATATAGATATTACACACATTAATACTTATATACACATTTATTCAAGTCAAATATCAGATAAATCCCATCTGAGCAAATTGTGAAGCGTTTCCATTTGAGGGCTAACAATTTGTTGTACTTGAGTTAAATTTATTGATTTCAATTGTTTTTAATTGTTGTCAGAGATGAAACAAAAGCAGTACAAAATACACAGAACATGAAGAAGAAGAGGCAGATGAGTAAAAATAAGAAGCAGATGACATTTATTATTGCCAGCTCAATCTTTATCACGATCGAAGCGAATGCAATGGGTATTAGACTCTTTGAACTCTCAATAAATTAATTTTTTGTTTTTCACAAACAGAACGTCATAACGAGCCGCTGTTGGTAAATAGATAAGAATGTGAATAATATATTTACGCATATATAGAAATGAATATAAATTTATGTATGTATTTATTCACATAGATTTCGTAACACCTTGAAATTTGCGTTTTATTTAAGCAGTAAACTGAAGAAACAAGTCAGCCGACACTTTCGTTGGGTATGCAAGACTAACAGATACCCAGATCACAGGGTAGAGCATTTTTGAAAGATATATATCTTTTACTCATAGATGGACTCAGATAATCATACAAATCGTTATATACATCAAAGTATCTGCTTGTTACATACATTGGCACAACAACAATATACCCCAAATATGAACACTATAAAACAGGGTATACCGAACTGAGCATAGATATTGGTTATGAAGTAAAGGCGTCACAAGACACGAGTTCGCTATTAGAATCTGTATCTGTGTCTGTATCTGTATCTGTATCTGTATCTGTATCTGTATCTGTATCTGTATCTGTATCTGTATCTGTATCTGTATCTGTATCTGTATCTGTATCTGTATCTGTATCTGTATCTGTATCCTTATCTGTAGCTGTATCTGTATCTGTATCTGTATCTGTATCTGTATCTGCATCTGTCACTATATAACTGTATCTAGTCAAGAAATGAAATGCACAAAGCACAAAGCAGAGAACGAGATAAAAGCTACAAAGATCTGCATAAGGCTCTTTGCATATGTATGCATAAATAAAGTTTTTTTGTTTGTTGTTTTTTTGGCTGCCTGCTGCGGCTGTGTTGCAAGCAGCAGAAGAAGCGAGCAAGTTCAAGGCGCGTGAAGGTGTTGCATAGATACACCGACAACAACAACAGCCTTAAGATACAAAGATACTTCTGTATGCGCATATGCAGATACTTTTTGCTCTTAGCCAGTGGCTGCGTTGACGAAAATAAAACGCCCACGCCGGAAGCGAGCGAAAATGCAAACAAAAAATGAGAAAACGTGTGAAAAACAATTAGCAAACAGCCCCAACAATAAAAATAAAAATAAAAACAAAAACAATTGTAAATTTCAAATTGAAAAATGTGTCACAGCCAGTGAATATTTGCGTTGATTTTGTTATTTCTATTTCTGTTTCTATATAATGAGCGTGGGCGTTTTGATTAATGGGCCTACTGGCACACTATGTGCATTCCAATTGCTCTTTGGCTAACATTGACATTAAAACACATTTAATTAAATAAAAAATAAGAAATATGAAACAAAACTGAAAAGAAAATCAAATTATTCGCGCGCGCTTTTTTAACGGCACTGCCAGCCCGAAATTTGCAATGGCTAACAGCGTGCTGTTAGCGCTGCCACATTCTGTTAATAGCTCATGCGAGCTAACAGCTCAAACGATTATCGATAACAGCGGCCACAGCGTCAGTCTGTTTTGGTTGTTCCGCACTTGCACACATACTCGCCTAATATGTAAAAAATCAAAACCTATAGAAAATATGTAAATTTTAAACAAGTGCAACTGTTTTTAATTTTAATTTGTACTTAAGCACACCGTACTTACCGTTCCTTTATTTGTTCTTTTTTGTCGCGCTCTACGTGCCCACTGTCCTTTGTGCGTCTCTCTCTCTATATTACCTATTTTTGGGTTGTTTTTTTTTTTTTTTTTTTGTTTTTTGTTTTACTGTTGCTTTGTGCATGGGAACTCGTGCAAAATGGATTTCGTGCAGTTCTGGAAAATCGTTGCTGCCCTTTGGAGGCCCGATTGCTCAAGATGTCTGTGTGGACGACAACTAGCTCAGCTAGCAATGGCCTAGAATCTTCCAATAACCAAACTCGCACGCCGCCAACGGCCAAATCTCAGCTCAGTGCCGCTCAACGCAACAGCTCAAATCCGACCAACGCTGGCCAGTTAATTGGCAGTGATATTACCACGTCAGCCAACGCTCAGCAGCATCATTTCCAGCACGTAGTGGCCGCAGCAGTTGCAGCAGCCACAACCATAGCTACCGGCCAGCACCAACAACAACAACAGCAACATCATCATCATCATCAACAGCAGCTGCTGCAGTTGCAGCCCTTTCATAATCACAGTTTATACAATCAATTTGGCAGCAGCTCCGGCAGTAGCAGCAATAACGGCAACAACAACAACACCTTCAACTTCAAACGTTCCAGCATTAGCAACTCGGCTCCACAGCTACCCGCTTCCAGTCAAAATTTCACAAAGGTAAGTCTCCATAAGAATTCAAATTCTATATTCCTCCTACATGCAAAACAAAAATGACAAGAAAAAAAACTCCTACAGTCGCCTAAGCTCTCCCGCGCGCTCTCACTCACTCACTCTCTCTCTGCTTTTGTCACCCCTCTCTCATATCTTTTCCACGCCAATCGTGCAAAATCACCGAAATGAGCAATATGGAAACGAACAATTGGACAAGCGGTTCACGGTTAATTCTCCAGTCTAAACTCTAAACTTGGCCTCCGATTTCAAGTCGAACCAGATCCCACATGCTAGCGCATGTGCGTTTGCGCGTGTGTGTGTGTGTGTATATATATGTATGTATGTATGTATATTTGCCTGTGTTTACGTACCGTAATATTGCACGCGGTTTATTATTAATTTTCCATACACTTAGAGCTTGCTTATGACGTCACAGAGCTTAGTTTGTTATTCTTGATGCTCATTAGACAGGGGTATTAGGCGGGTATATTTGTGAGCTCTGCAAGCAAAGAGATACGGGAGAGGTTTTGATAATATATATTTATGTATGTATATAAGTACATACTAATGATATAATTCTTTCCTAATTCCATTCAACTCAAAATTAAGTTCAGCTTTGATATATTTTCTTCAGTGTATTGTGCAATTAATACAGCTCGCTCTGTAACTTGTTTACTCTCTTCCCATTGACTCTTCTTCAATTCAATTCGCACTGCGTCTTAGCTTTGCTGTTGTTTTATCAACTGTTTGCATACGATAAATAATTAAAATTAGGCACTTTATAGGGCCCACGCCTACACGCACGCACATACATATGCATAAATGTGTGTGTGTGTGTTTATAATCAGCATATACATATAAAATCTTTTATATTCATGTTATTTTTTTCTATATTAATTAGTTTTGAATGGCAACAATGTGGTGTGGCTGTTTTTATATAGCGATAAGGTCTGTTATATTCCACTTCATGTTACCCGGCTTTGCATGGCACGGAAAAAATATGCATACAATAGAATTTCAATATCACAAAACGGCAAAAAACGTAATAGTAGTATTATAAAATCGTTTTGATTTTGCCTGTTCAATGGATTTATTCAACCTTTTGCTCTAATTTGTATGCATAATAATTGTGCGACGCCTTTGAAAATTGCATAAATTTCAATTTTGCATTGGATTGGCAATATATTTGACTTAGAATATTATTCACTTAAATGCCGATTTTATGGGTCAAGTTGGTTAAAGTAGGACGAAAAGTATATATATTTGCTTCCATTAGAAATTCTGATGTAATTTTTTTTTTTTTAGAATTTAAAATATATTTTATTTTAACTTTACTAAGTACGAGGAATTTATGTAAATCTAATACAAATATAAACTCAAGGCGATATTTCTAAAAAATGTTTGTTGAATAATTATTTTTATTCACATTGATCAAGGAATTACTGTAGCTGATTACATTTTTGATATTTATTGATATTTGCTTCGATTGGAAACTCGAAACGCTGTTCATGCGATCACATTTTACATGAACTGATAACAAGCACAGTCACTTAATTGTTGTTCCCATTTAATCGTTCGAATTGAGAAAAACATCAATCATCTGATACTACGAATTCTTTGTCAACGATCAATAACACTTGTGTTATTATTGATTGATTGTATAATAATCCACAGATCAGCGAAAGCTCAAATTACAGAGTTTCCGAAAAAGAGCTTTTGAGCAATATATTTATAGTATTTTCAGTATGTTAATGCAAATTCCATACAAGTTCCAAAATGTTACAGCGCATTTGCCGGCATCGAAATCCACGGGGAAATATTCTCTTTAAGCTGTGCAGCTGCGTCAATAGGAAGCTAAGTTGTTCCATTGACTGCAAAAAACGGTTATTTTACTCTCCTCTCATTGCAGCTCTTTCGCCGAATTTACTCATAAAACTTCATCAGCTGGAAGCTTAAGAGCGAATCGGTTGGCTCGCTCTTCTTATTTTGATCCCCAAATGACATTTTGCCTGTCCTACGTGATTTCAATCAAATAATTCCACTAGCTACAGGTCTTGGCCTCTCTATCTCTAAAACATCTGCTGCTGCCGCAGCTCCTCTGCTCGCTTTATTGTTGGGTCAGCTGAGCGGGCAGTGTCGAATTTATAATTGAATCAGTGGCCAATCAACTGCCCAATCACTGCACAGTTCAGGGGCAAGTCGCGTCGCCCAAACGCTCATCATTTGATTTCCCCATTGATGATCAACGGATGCGCTACAGGTAGGAAAAATGTGCTGATTGATTGCCAACAGTGGGAGAGAGCGAGAGGGCGAGTGAGTGAGTGATTGGGGAGCACCTTTATCACGTGCTGTCTCTTTTGCACCTTTCATTGCTATCTATTTGTTTTGCTTGTTTTCCGTTTTCTTTACACACACACCCACACTCATATACACTTATACAGGCACCCGCTGTCAACGTTTTAGTTTCCTTCAGTTCGGTTTTAATTCAAATGGCATTTGTAATTCGATTGTCTATTGTTATATTGTTGTTGTTTTTGTCGTCGCAGGCCGCAACCGCCGTCGTCGTCGTCGTCACCGTAGCCGTCGCTGTCGCCGCCGAATTGATTGTCGAATTTGAATATCACGCGCGCCGCCGTCGACAGTTCAGCAACCAACGCCAACGTCGCCGCATCAACGGCATCGCCTCCGTCGCCGTATCAGTTAGTTGTTAACTAGACAAGACGTTCTCGCGCGTTCACATCAACCGATCAAGCAACCAACACACCACCCAACCACCCAGCCACCCACACTCATTCATTCACCAACCGGTTCACATGACAACCAAAGAAACATTCAAGAGAGTGAGAGCCTGAAAAAGAGAGAGACGCATTAAGACTAAAAGACGCTAAGGCGGCTGAAGGGAAAAGGAAGACACAGCGAAATGCAAAAAGAAATGAATTAAATGTGTCGAATAGTAGAGCCAAATTACTATTCAATTCATTATCGTGCCGCAGTTCGCCGTGAACTTGTCGTCGTGATTAATGCTGTACGAGCTAAAGATATACAAGAACTACATGCACATGCAAAAAGACAAACACATACTCATACACTTGCTCATTTGTAGAGTGAAGTCGAAAACGGTTAAGCGGTAAAGCGTGTCTCCATTAAAGCATCGTTGGCGAACGGAAACGGTTATCGGTTTTTGCCATCAAATATATTTTGATACGTTTTGAGTGCTCTCGCAAATAATAAAAATACGTACGTGCCAAATTGTGTTTTATTGACACATGTATTTTGCAATTTTATATGCTATAAAATGTTTATAAATAAAAAGTCAATATTTAAATAACACAAACACACGCACGCAAACCTCTAAAAAAGAGAAAGACGGCAAGCGGAACGCAACGCAACGAGCACAAAAAAGAAAAACAACCAAAAAGCAACTACAAAATTTGCCAACAAACTGACAATTAAACCAAGTAGAAAAAAAAATAGCGCACTTATGTGTAATTGTGTGAGTGAGAGTGTATGTGTGTGTACTGATCAATTCTCATGTGCACTGAACACCATAATTAATCAACAACAACAATAAAACGCTATCAGCATCGTCATCAATAGTCAGCATCGGCAACCAACTGAAACGAACTGCCAGACATTGTTTGAGAGCAGTTCGAAGTGTTGAGGCGTTGAAGAGCGAAAGTTTCTTTCGAAAGGAATTTTATAACTTCCAGTCTACGCTCTCGCCCGCACTCTCTCATTTATTAGTGCTTCGCTCGCTCACTCTTATGCTGCTCAGAAGTGTTTTTGTTGTTAAAGTGTTTGGCAAAAAGCTAAAGTTTTGAAAATTTTACAAATCAACATAAATATTAATTTAAAACACATATACGCGTGTGTGTGTGTGTGTGTGCGTGTGTACGTGTATGCAGAGAGAGAGAAGGAGAGAACTAAGTGCACATGCGTTCCACTTGCGACGAAGTGCCGCTTAAGCCGCCGCGACGCCAAAAGCTTCAGCTTGAACTGCCGCTGCTCGAGCAAAAAGACCAGCAACAGCAACCGCAACAGGACAAAGAGAGCGAGTGCAAAAAGCGTACGCGTGATCCGGTTCAGCGTGCAGAGAGCGAAAATTTGTTACCTCTCAATCCGAAGAGCATGTACTCTAACCTACGCTATGCCCGCACAAATCTCAGCCACAGCAGCCTGCTGCTTAATCATCAGCAGAGCTCGTTCGATGGCAGCGCGCCCACTTCGACGGAGCGCACAGAGAGCAGCGAGACATTGGACACACCGTTAACCCGGGACTCGGACAGAGAGGATGGCAGGCAACCGTTGCCCTCTGCTCGCCTTTTGCCCTGTGCGGCGAATCGGATTGAGACGAAACGCTTTGCTTTGGCAAGTGCATTGCATGCGACAGCTCGGCTGGCAGCGAGTGTGGATGCCTATACAGCAGCAGCGACTGCGTCGGCATCGACGACGRCGACGCATTGTACTGGCAGCCACTGTCATGGCAGCGACTGCAGCAGCATGTGCGACTCGTGTCGACCGCAACGGCAGGCACAGCAGCAGCAGACACAGAACAGCAACAATTTCAGTCGTACCGCCCACTCGGGACCGAGTAGCTACATTGGTTCGGCGCGCTTTCTCAACTTTAGCAATTTGCATTCAGCGAATTCGCCGCACGCGAGCTCGCGCCGCTTCAACGCGCATCTAACATCCCAGCCGCCGCTGCCGCCGCCGCCGCCGCCGTTTCCATTACCATTGGCAGGTGCAGGGCCAGCAGCTTCCATAGTACAGTCCTCGTCCAGTGCATATCCATATCAGTTACGCACATATCAAGAGCATAAATTCTCTCGATTTCAGCCTCGACGCATCACCCGCAGCAGCATGTCGCAGTCTGGCGAGGATCTGCACTCACCCACCTATCTGTCGTGGCGCAAACTGCAGTTGAGCCGGGCCAAGCTGAAGGCAAGCAGTAAAACGTCCGCGCTATTATCAGGCTTTGCTATGGTAAGTTCTCTCTCTCTCTACCTCTATGTTCTCCACTAGTTCTATTGAACTAGTTCCATTTGCTTTCAACGTACTTTATTATCTAATTTTAATCCGTCGTGTTTAATAAATATCAAAATTAGTTGGCTTCTTTAATTAATTATTAGAAGAATGGCGCAATTGCCCTAGCGTATGCCCTGTAGCCGAATGAAGCAGAAAAATGGGTATAAAGGGTTGACTAACTGAGCTACTTGTTAGTTGTATTACACATAGTTGTATTATACATAATATATTTTAAATATTCGGAACAGCTTAACTTTGTATATATTTCTTACCTCTGATTTATGAGGGTTTCGTCACAGAGAGTTTAAAAAACTCATCAAATTTGCATATATATTTCTTATCTATATTTAAATATGTTTATGTACCCTACAATATATATGTATATTATATTGATTTACAAATTTGCCATGTAAATCTATGAATGACTTGAAACTGATCAATGAACATTTTATTATATTTTGTACTAATTTATATAAATAAATATGTTTTTTTTTTTTATGTAATATGAATAATTAGCAAATATTTACATAGGCTTTTGATACTTATCAGAAAAATATATTTGTAGTTCATTTGGCGCTATTTCTTATGAGTTATGCACTGTAATATAATGCTCTCTCTAGGCATTAGATATAAACTAATGGAAAATGTATGTATATAAATTTGTGTATACATAAGTATACGCCAGTTGTTAATAATTTTTGGAAAAAAAAAAAAAAAAAAAAAATTGCGCTATACTTTTCGAACAGATCTCGTATATACATTCATATTTATATTAAATTACATAGTTTACAAAAATTAAACACGTTCCATATTATCTACACAATACAATCCACAAAGTCGTTAAGCTCATTAAATCATTTTAAAAGTTTTGAATAATATTTAATAAATTAAATTTTAAAAAGAAAAAAACTAACCTAATTAAATGTAAAAAAAATAATACATTAAATAGTAAATAATAGATGAGGAAAAATAATTCAAAATAAATGAAATTGCCAAAAAATAATAATAATAATAATAATGAAGTAAATAATAAAAAATGCAACCGTAAATAAATGAAGAACTCTAATTATATATTTATTATAAGGTATTTTGTGGTCGCATACTGCTTAACTAATTAATAAATGGCTTGCATACCAAAAACAAATAGAGGGCCGACAGACGAGGATAATCGCATAAATTGGCCGCATACGTAGCATATTGAATTTGTGTAATATATGTGCATGAATATATAAATATATATATTATATATAATATACAGCCAACACATTCTGTTGCCAAAATGTGAACAACATGAGTTGGCTAATAATATAAATAATAAGCACACTAAAGCGAGCCCAGCAGGTAGTCTACCAGCGCTCTCTCTCTCTCTCTCTCTCTCTCTCTCTCTCTCTCTCTCTCTATCAGCTCTCTGGCTAATTCTCACTCTCTCTCACTTTCTCTTTTGCTCTTTGCAGGTGGCCATGGTGGAGGTGCAGCTGGACAAGGATACAGGTGTACCGCCTGGCATGCTGGTGGCCTTCGCCATCTGCACCACGCTACTGGTGGCCGTCCACATGCTGGCCCTGATGATCAGCACCTGCATCCTGCCCAACATTGAGACCGTTTGTAATCTGCACAGCATCTCATTGGTGCACGAGTCGCCGCACGAGCGCCTCCATTGGTACATCGAGACGGCCTGGGCATTCTCCACGCTGCTCGGCCTGATACTGTTTCTCGTGGAGATCGCGATACTCTGCTGGGTGAAGTTCTATGATCTGAGCACCACGGCTGCCTGGTCGGCCGTGGTGGTGCTGATACCCGTGATGATTGTCTTCCTGGCCTTTGCCGTTCACTTCTACCGGTCGCTGGTGACGCACAAGTACGAGGTGACCGTCTCTGGCATACGCGAGCTGGAGCTGCTCAAGGAACAAATGGAGCAGGAGCATCTCGAGGTGCACAACAATGCGCGCAACAATGGCTTCAACTATGGCGCCTCTGGCGACATTGTATAGTTGACTTCAGCCACACCACAATAAGGAAAACTTTTGTAAAAGACATACATGCTTAAACACACACATAGATGCATATAGACATACATATATATTAGTCCGTTAATCGGACCTTAGACTAAATGCAAAATATTCAGAATTGTGGATTTGTAGCTAATGCAAATTGTGATACGCATAAGCAATATATTATGTTACTCCAATATCTTTTTTTATATATATATACACATAACTATACAGTTATATATACATAGAGTATGTGTACGACCGAAGTGCTTGCAGTCTATATACATATATGTAGTCTATATGGTATAAGCCTCCATTATCAGGCGCATGTCTTAACGTTAGTTCGCTGTAATTTATACATACATATAACATATAGTTAATTAAAGCTCTTACTTTACTAGACAATAGAGAAATACAAAAAAAAAAAAAATTCCCCAAAACCCCAACTAAAAACATTTTCTATTAGCCCCGTTGGCGTCTTGGCCCTCTTTGCCGCTCAAGCTTGGTTAAGTTTGCGTGTCAGGCATTGGCCTCTATTCCAGCTAATCTATTGTGGCAAGGTACAAGACATGTTAGCAGCTTGATTAGAATAGGGCGCACCACACAAGGCAACGCACCAGCAGCACCGGCACCACCCATCGTGACATCGCCCGCTGGCGACTGGCACCGCCACAGATGACAAATCGAAGCAACAACCAACTCCCGTTCGACAGTTGCCAGCAACATGTCGAGCCGAGCAAGCGGCAGCCACAGCGTGTTCAGATGCCTGCGCTACACCACCGGCGGCGGCTACTACCGGGGCATGTGGTTGGATGGCCAGCATCATGGCTACGGCGTCAAGGCCAGCGGGCGTGGCCTCATCTATGAGGGCCACTGGATGCACGGTCAGCGACATGGCTATGGCACGCTGCGACGTCTCTTCCCAAACGGACACGCCCAACGCCTCTATGTGGGTCAGTGGGCGGCGAATGTGCGCTGCGGCGAGGGCAAGCAGTATTACGACGACGGCTCCGTTTACTACGGCCAGTGGCTGGGCAACGAGCGGAGTGGGCGTGGCATACTGTGGCATGGGGATGGACGCATCTATGTGGGCGAGTGGCTAAAGGATGTGATGCACGGCCGTGGCGTGCTCTATGCGGGTGAGTTGAAAGCGAGAAGCGCTGTGAGAAGCAGGACGGAGAATGGGAGTCAGAGAAGAAAAGAAAATGGGGTAAACGAAGTAATGCAATAGAGAAGAGATGAACTGGTGGGAGGGACTGCTGTCTTTGAGAAGTTGCACAAAATGAAGTAAAGCAATAGAGAAGATCAAAGATGTGATCAAGAGAGGAAGAGAGAGAGAGTGGAACATGGGATAAGGAAAGTAAAACAGTAAAGGAACATGAGAGATAGAAACATGGAACACACATGGCAGAGAGCCAAGTAAAGCAATAGAGAGAAATCTTTTATATATGTATGTCAATATATCAAGTATATGACAAAGATTCACCCAAAATAATATATATATTTGTAATGCTTAGTTTCCTATAAGTTAATTTAAGAAATATATAAAAATCTATTACGATATAACCTGGGAAACTAATCGTTTAGTTTTCTTGCTTTTGTAGCAAAATTTCAAATCGTATTTATATTTATGCTATAAAGATTGAGCATGTCGTAAATCTACTTCTAGAAATAGAGTTAACGTCACATAAACCACATTCGTTTCCGCTTTAAAATTTGCAAATTAGAGAAGCAAGCTCAAGATAAGCGAATGGAGCAACTTTCAGATAAGTTAAACGAAAAGAGAAGAGGTTTATCAAGTATTGTTTGGGCAAAGCTCCACTTGATAAATGGGAAGAGCCAAGGCGAGAGAAACATGCTAAACCCATAACTGCTCTACACGCTTCTCGCTCACACGTGCCGTTTCTCATTTTGTTCCCCATTTATTCGCAGCCAATGGGAACCGCTATGTGGGTGAATTCGCTGACGGTTGCAAGTCCGGCATTGGCGTCTATCATCACCAGAGCGGCGTAGGTCAGAGCGTGCAGCAGCACGGCCTTTGGAGCGATAACGTATGCAAAACTTCGCTGATGCCACTGAAAAGACCCGAATCACACCCGGCCAAGTCTGATGATCTTTGAGTGAAAAATGTATATATGTATAAAAGGCGATAAATAATATTTGTGCTAACTAGGCGAGAGCATACGATTATGTATATCTAAGCGTAATCAGTTCCTCTGGCGACGTCGGCTGCTCAGCGACTCGGCTGGTGTCTGCTGCTCGGTCGTTTGCTGCTGGCGTCGGGTGCGCATACGCGTGCTAGGCGTCTTCTCCTCCGGCGTAACATTGCGCCGTGTTGCGACGGGGGCGGTTGCTGTGCGTCTGAGGGTCGCCTCCACCTGCAGCTGGGCACGCGTTCGAGTGCTGCGCACAGATCTGGTTGGCTTCAGCTTTGCCACTGGCTCCGTCTCATTGTCGCTCAGGTCCAGAATCTCAATGAGCTGACAGGCATTCAAATCCAGACGCTTGCCAGACTGGCGTTCCGGACTGCTGCCTATGTCGCTGGAGCTGCTGCTGCCGTTGCTGCTGCCACTGGTACTAAACGGATGCACTTCCTCCGTATAGATGGTAAATTTGGCCGGTTTCTTGCCAGACTTGACTTCCGTTTTGCTCAACGACTTGGGCTTCTCCTCCGGCGATATGTTGAAGGTGAGAGCACGCCGGGGATTCTGTAGCCTTGGCACCGGCTGCAGCTCGAGCCGCGCTGCACTCAGCTGCAGCAGCAGATTGTAGCGGTAGTTGATGTCCACGCGCGACTGCAGCTGCTCGCTGCCGGCCAGCTTCAGCGCGGCCTCGGTCAGCTCGATGGCCTGCTGCTGCCGTCGCTTGGCACGCAGATAGTTGGCCTGATACATGTGCAGCACGAGCAGCATGTGCCCCAATTCGTTGCCCCGCGCCGCATTCTGCTGCAGCCACTTATTGGTCAGTGTATAGAAATCATCCAGCTCATCAAGCTCTCGATTCAGAAAGTACAACCGAGCATAGAAACAGCCCACGACAAAGTAGACGCACTGCAGCTGCACGCTGGAGCGCATAACGGGATGCGACTGTTGCAAGTCCAGCGAGACATACGGCTGCAGTTTTTTGGTCGTGCTGCGCGGCTGCAGTTCCTGTGGAGGAGGAGAAGGAATGAAGTGAGAGGTTGATATTCATCTCCATCTTTACTTACTCGTTTCGGCGAGGACACAGGGTACTGTTGCTGCTTGCGTATGGGCTCCACGCTGACCTGCTCCAGCTGCATGGCCAGCATCTTGCCCACCATTTCGCTCATGTGCTTGGACTGCGCATCCATCGGAGCAGCGGGCAGCAGTTCCTGGCGCTGCTCAAGCGCAGCCATCGACTCGAGCAGCGGCTGTATGCAGAGGAAGTGCTCGATAATGCGCAGCTTGGTGTGCGCTTTGTCCAGGCACTCCATGCGCAAATTGGTCCACAGCCAACAGATGAGCACCTCGACGGCGCGCAGCACCAGGCCGCCCTGGAGCAGCACCTGCAGCAGGCTGTTCGAGAAATTGGGTCGTTCACTCAGTCGATTGGCCGTGCATTCGGTTGTGTCGCGCACCATGTCACCGAGCAGCAGGATCAGAGCTCCATTATCCATGGACGAGATGGTGGTAAAGCTGCGCACGCCCTCCGTCAAGGTGTCCAGCTGCTGCAGCGCCGTGGGCAAGCGCTCCAGCAGGCGGCACTGGCGCTGCTGATAGCACATGCGAAAGCGAACCGTGTGAATGGTCAGCTGGACTATGTCGCACTTGCCCGCCCGCTCCTCGAACTCCTGGCGCAGCCGCTCCGCGTGCAGCAGCAGCAGCTGGGCATGGCAAATGCAATTGAGGCGTGCATAGTACAGCGCCAAGTGGCAGAGGCACAACAACACCGTCGTATGATGGCGTTTCAGCAGGTGTGGCGCCTGGAGCTGCGACCACAGCTCATCGAGCAGCTGCTCCGCATAGGCAACCTCCACATCCAGCTTGAGCAGCGCGTGTTGCGTGTAGCGCGGCAAGAAGTGGCTAAGCGCACGCAAATAATTGAAGCTATCACCCAGCAGACGGCTGATGCGCATTAGCAGCAGCCACGCCCTGTCCGCCTGCTGCGTATAGCCCATCGTAGACAGCGCCATGGCGGCCACAATGCCGTCATCAATCAGCGCCTCCCAGTCGATGAGCGCCTCGTCACTGCTCAAAGGCTCGGCATCCGCCTGAAAAGAAGAAGCCATATGGGTAAATTAAGCCTAGGAATTATGTCCATATGCTATACTTTAGACTACGGTAGATAATAGGCTAGAATGACTTTCTACCACAATCTATAATATATACAATTCCATCTCTAATTCACTTCCTCTCACCTGCTCAAAGAATTTGGCAAAAGCCTCGATTGCCATTGTCGCCAATTCCACGAGCGGCATTTCGCTGCTTATGTTAAGCTCCAATAGATTGTATTTAATGAGCAGCTCCTCGATTGTCTTCTCCGATGTCTCCTTGAGGGGTATTTTGGTCTTCTGAGCTTCGAGCGCATCCAAGAGTTTGGTGACCGTCGCATGGCCTAGGATGAGCTGCTGCAGCCGCGTCAACTGTTTGTTCCGTTTTAAATTAATGCGCAGCTCTTCGATTTGCTGGCCAATCGCCTTGTCCGTGCGTAAATGTCGTGACACAAGCACCTTTTGGTAGTCGGTTAGGCAGTGCTGCAGCAGCGACTGCAACAGCTGCGGCGTCTTCTTATTAGCCAGCACCGCCAAGATGTCCATCTCGAGTAGTCGTCGCCGCTCAGCTGGCTCTATGGGATTGCAGAGCGTGCCCTTCGCATGCAGCTCCAACAGGCATTGGTCTGTATCGTTCTTGGGCGTGCGATAGTAGATGCACAGCTGTTGGTATTGGCGCGCGGGACAGCTTAAGCTGGTGACATAGGCGCAGTGCAGACGCGCTGCGAGCTCCGGATGGGAGCAGTGGGCGCTGGCTTTGTAGATGCGACGTATTAACTGTCTGACGTACGGCGGAGTCAGAAGCGGGCGCAGCTGCTGCAGTGGCTTTAGCAGCATCTCCAACAAAAGCATCTGCTCAGAGGAGTCTATCTTCTCCGCTATGTTAACCAGATGCCAGGCAAAGAAGATCAACTCGGTGCTGTTGGGCGTGAAGCATTTGGTCACTATAACTACATTGATGGC